ATCTATCAAACGAGGTATTGTATAATATTGTATTCTGAACAGAATATCATTAATTTCACTCACAGGGCAAGATTCATTTCCCTGGGAAAGTTAACAACTAGCTGGGTTGAATTTGTAACGGTTCTTGTCACATAGCGAGAAAGCCAGAAAAAGTTTCAGAGGTAAGGCAATTTGTCTACTTTTTGCATGTTATTAGTCTATATTTCTTGGTGCATTATTTAATTAAATAAATAAAAATTATTAAGTGCATTACTATCTATAGTATAAAAAATCAGGGTTAACTTTCTTAAAAACCCGAGAGCAGGAAAAAAGAAGATTGGGTAAGTACTCTATTTCTTGTTTTTCATATTTATTATTATAAAAGTAACTAAAATTTAAAAATACAGATCTTTTTAAGTTATTTAAGACTAGAATAGGTAAAATAAGTAACATTGATAATATAATTAAAATAATTCACGAGGCACACGTGTGAGCAGCTCGTGGGTAATGTAATTTGATAGCGTATTGTGACCTGCACGTTCCCTGGGTGATTTACAACTTATAATGAAGCAGACAGTAGTTAGACACGGTTCAAGAGGCAATAAAACAATAAAATTTAATTATAAATAGATGTATAATGTTACGAACTTAGAGCTAATTAGGATAAACGAATATAGTTTCATGTTACAATTTGCAGTCATTCTAGAAAGAAAAAAAAAAGGTTAATTTAGGTAATTTTGATTTTTTTCTTTACAGTTTACAAGGTTCATCAAATCGACCAATCCCATTAGATAGGGTGGAGAAAATAACAGATAAACTATAAAGTTATATTTGAAAAAACGTTTGACATGCATTTAGGAGGTTTTTAGGGATTACACAAAGGAAATTTGAGATTTTTGAGAAAAATTACTTTGCATACGGACTATTCAAAACAAATACTCATTATATTCATGGAAAAATCTTTATTTTATTTTATTAAAAATACTTCACTAAGAAATATGAGTTTTTGTACGTGAAAGAATTGTAATATTAACTGAAAGACAGCCAAATTATTGAGAGTTATAAGTATTAAATCTATAAAGACTTTAAACTAGTACAAAAAAAGTCATGTGGTCAGTCAAATTGACCGAGCCCATATTGAGAGTGTTAACAGGAAAATGTAAAGTTTATAAAGAGAGAGTTTGTTTGCCATATGCTCAAGGCTCATTTACAAGAAATGCTAATATAATGAAACAATGTAAATTAAATAGTCTCATGAGTACAAAAGATAGTACAAAAGAAATTGATAAATGTGGGATTTACAAAATTCCTTGTATCTGTGGTCCAGTCTATATTAGCCAAATGTCTAAAAATTAAAAATTCAGGATCAAGGAACATAAAAACATTGTACAAAAATACATAGGAAATAAATTGGTATTACCAGAACATGTAGTAGAAACGTCTCCTGTTATATACTGGAGTAACACCTAGTTGATAAGTTATGTAGAATTTAAAATTCAATTAACTACTAAAATTGAAAAAAACAAAGATATCATATTAAACAAGGAAGCTGGTCCTGGTCTAGAAATAATAAAGTACTGAACAAATGTTTTGTAACTCTTGGTAGTTCAAGCCTAGATAGCAGTACAGGAATACAAATGATTATGTGGGCATACTAGTCCCAACCATGCCTCTTTTCATTATTCCTGAAGATAGTGTCCTAGAACAACAAAATATATGTAGATTTTTTTAGGACAAGTCCCTGTTTTAATAACTATTTATTGTGTAATAATTTTAACTTTGTACTCCTATTAACTTTATTGCCATGGGCATCCCTTCCTGCATTAGTCAGAAGGTTTTAGTGACTTACATTATAAATTTTATTAATTACTTTCTGTTTACGTTATACCAGTTAGTATATCATAAAATCTTAGCTAATAATCCATATGTTAATAGTATACAAGTTTTAAGTTCTTAATTTTATAAAGCAATATTTAAAACAAATTCTGAATTTCCCCTAGTGTGACATTTTCTCTAGGCATCTCTTCTCTATTTTATCCACCACCCCTCCAATAAGTACGAAATTAAACATAAATTACAAACTATAAAATGTCCGACAAACCATAATTATTATGGTTGTTTTCTCAGGAGAGGAGAAGGGTCAGAGGGGATTTGATTGAGGTGTTTAAGATTATTAAGGATATTGATAATATAGATTCATCAAACTTTTTGTGTTTAGCAGTGAAAACAATAGGACAAAGGGTCATAACTTCAAATTTTGGCAGTGTAGGAGGCGTATGCAGTTTAGACAGTATTACTTTTCAAACAGGGTGGTTGGCTTTTAGAATGAACTACCTTCAAGGGTGTTAGAGGCAGAAAAATTCAAGAAAAGATTGGATGAATACATTAAAAGAAAGGGGTGGTTATAGTTAGGAGCTGGAAGGGTATCCTTGATGGGCTAATGAGCTCCTTTTTGTCACTTTAAAATTTCATGAATTTATGACGTGCACACTTTGACCAAGCCAAGAACTTTCTGTTGTTTGGGGTAAACAATCTTTACTTTGGCTGCTGTCCCTTATTCAACAGCTGACTCTTGATTGGTTTTTTTGGTTGATTAGAGTGTTATCTCTTTTGCCTTTCACTTTGGCAAACTGGCTGTCACAGGGTATCTAGATAGTGTTTTAATCTGACCTGATGTTGAAACTATATTTGGCTTGATTTTTTCTATACTTATCTTGTTCCTATTCCAAGAACTTGTAGACTGTTCTTGTGTTTTTACAGTGTTCGATTAACATGGTCATGTAAGGGTATAATCTTCTGAAACATTTGAGCAACCAATTTCTCTGCAATCCTCAATTTATACTTTATGGTTTTAAAGTCACTGTATGTTTGATGATTTTGTGTCTGACCTAGATTCTATAATATCTTCCATAAGGTTAAACGAGTTCCCCCATGAAAGCGGCCCTAAACAGCCTTTGTCACCTTCACCAGATGCGAGAACTTTTAAGGCTTAAATAAAGGAAAACTACCATTAATAAATAGGCAGATAATCTTCAAACACTGGCAAGTGACTGGATCTTTCTTAACTTTAAATCATACAATTCCTTCTCATCTCCTGTGAGAACATTTGTAACTATCACAGTAGATTACATCTATTTCTGACCAATGCTGTTATCACAACACAAAGGATAAATGGCAAATAGGTGCTTTATCAAATTTTGTTGATTATCATCTTCTTTAGCAAGTATTTTTCCAGAACAAACATAAGCACTTTGAACATTTTCAATGAAGTGTCTGTTGTAATTTTGTCCTCAAGTGGCATTTGTTTATCAGATCCTTTGCCTCCGTGCCTAAAAACAGGTTGCCGGTACATATACTCCAAATATTAATAATTGAACAGATAAGATTATATAAATGTATACATTACCTGGGAGTTTGTAATGAGTTGCACTGATTAACTTTGAGCAATTCAACCTCTTTGTTTTTATGTTTCAGTGTTTTAAGAGCTCATCTATAACTTGTTTTCCTTCAACTGACATATTTTAACTCAATCTCACAGTAAAGTTGTTTTGTCTTGTCTATAATGTGCAACTTCTGAATATACTTCCCAACAAAACTCCTGTCTATTTCTGTGCCTACCCACTTCAAAATCCACCTGTTCAATTTGTAAATTGCTTTTATACTTAAGTATCAGTGATGTTCTGAAAACAGCCTATGCATTTTCAAATAAAGAACTGCCAGTAAGAGGAACAAAGAGAAAGCATACACAAGGCAGCTTAGTGATAGGCTAAATAATATTTTAGCAGCCAATCAATCCTCAAGTAACAAATGTGTACAATACACTCTATAGCAGATGCAAACCAAAGAGTTCCAAAGCCTCAATGAATTCTTAAGTTTCCATCAGAGAATGCAAAAAATAACCCACAGAATCAGAAAAGATGGAAATATGCCAGTAGAGATTTCTCATTACTCAATAGTACATACTCACTATCAATGTGTGTGTGTGTGTGTGTGTGTATATCAAAACACTTCAGCACAGGTAGGTAAAGTGAACATGTAATAAAGTACTGTACCACTGCCATCAGTTTGCAGAAAAAAAATTAATACCATCAAATATATTTTTACTTAACAAAGCCTTGAAGTTCAAATCTAAGAAATTTTGTGCTAAATGATATTCATTTATACAATTTTGTACAATGTGCACAGAAAGCCTCTAGATGATAGGGACTTGAGTGATGATGAAATTAAACATTTTTTACTTTTCTTTTCCATCTCAAATGATCAGGCCATAATGATTCTCTTTGTATTCATTAACAGTTTATTTTGGTTTAAACTCACCAATGTAATTTCTTGAATGATTTCCTCTGCCACATCTTCTGGAAAGAACTTTGCACGAAACTTAAATTGAAGAGGATTTTCTTTTTTGACATCTTGGTTCAACACCTTAAATAAAAACAATATTCAAATTATATAAAGGTACCTACGAGTTAAGTACAGAATTCTATATCCAAACGTATTTAAACTACTACCATCATAGCTACTTCTACTGGCTTATACTCAGCAGGAGGGGAATTTTAATGTCTATTATTGTCACTAAAGGCAAATACTTCTAAGCAAATTAAAACTGACTTAAAATACTGACTCAGAGTTACACTAGTCATTAAACAATATTGAAAACCCTTTAGCTCTAAGGTGATCTCTACTAATTTTATTGATGAATATCATAATATTAATGGTAACAAAATATAAAACACATTACACTTGTGTTAATTTTTTTTATCTAAAAGCAAAAAAAATTATAAATCAATACCAACTTTGATTCTTACATAAGGGAAACCAGCAAAGCTGTGGTTTTCCTCAATATTAAGAACACAACTACACAAGGTATTAATATACAACTGTGTGAAATTTAATTTCAAATGGGTGCAATTAGCTATGTATACTTAATAAATATGAGTCAGTGTTTACCCAATTAAACAAATATTATTAAATGACATTATTAATTTCCAAATGATACCCAGAAGCTATTCATCCATAGGGTTTTATTGTTTATAATATATTCTCACTACAATTTCATCATGAACTAATTGTTTCAATACTAACTTCATGCAAATCTGTCTCATGAAACCAAACTATTTTTGCCAGGAGAACACTTCATAATGAAGACTGGAAAATTAAGTGTCTTAAAATTATTAAAAATATGTTATATAATAAATGTTACTGCCAAAACTGAAAGATGTATTTTATTTTAATGGTTATAAAGCAGGTAATAAACAAAGTATTTTCACTAACTCTTAATTTTTTTTACACCATTAAGATTTTTTTATGTAATAATTAAATCATACAATCAACTAAGTTATCTATTCAGAAGATATACTTTTAGAAAAAAATTCAATTACCTAACTTATAAAAATAATCAGGTAATACGAACAATTACCATGATTTTTAATAATTTTTAAGTGAACAATATATATAAATTAAAACAATATTAAACCACATACTTAAGAAACTGGTAGCAGTTACAGTTCCTGCAATATTAAAGAAATGCTTAATATGAAAGATTACCACACCCATGAGGAGATATATATAAAACACAACTAGTTATCAGTGAATCAAAAATTTTGAAAGTTTTTGTAATAAATATCAAAATAAAAGCACATACTATTGCAACAGAAAAATTTCAAAAGCCTACAGACTAAACAGTATTTATCACCTTAACTCAGAGCACTAGTAAATCTATACTGTCAAACCTATTTTTACAAGGTTATGAACTATACTAGTCAGAAACACCTTTAAAAAATACAATCATAGAACTTTACACAAAAATGACATGAATATTCACATTTATCTTGCGAAACCACTGCTGCATCTTGAAACACCTACAAAATCCTGAGCATAAAAGTAGACAACTGGTAACACAGTTAACCCTACCAAGACGGGTCTTCCTATGGCTGCAGGTCAAAGACCATGTCATTGCATTTGTAAACTCACATTCAAAATATTATTGAACTACTATTTTATGAAAGTATGTCAATAAATTTGATATCAAATTGTAGATTATAATTCAAATTTTAGTATTTTTACATTAGTCAATTTCTTACTTTAAATATAGATATAAAAAAATCCTAAATATTGATTTTCTTCATGTCGCGTGGTATGTTGAATGCAGCATTGGTTCAAATTAGACGTTTGTGATGTCCACATACAAAGTCTGTAGTTTCATACAAATTAGGAACTCAGATTACCAATACTGACAAGCTAGAATGAAAATAAGAACTTCCTATATTTTTTATTTTCTGAGATATAAATATATTTATTGAATCAACCAAGGTGACCCCACACACCTCTCCAATTTTTGAAAATACCTGCTTACATACACCTATTTTGCCCACATATGTATAACCAGTCAAAAGCTCAGAATATTCCCCTAGTGGTTTTCTCAACCTCTACAAAGTATTTGCATGGGCAATTCTTTCTTTTCAAGCTAGATTCCAAGTGGTAAGGTAAAACAACAGTGAGCTCGAAAAACCATATTTTTTTAGACCCAAAAACAGCTTATTACTAAGCTTGATAAATTATAGTGGAATTCTGTGGTGTTGATATAGTAATTTATGATTTTTTAGTTATTTCAAAATGCATATATAAAATATTTAAAAAAATTTGTTTTACATCCTCCACATGCACAATTTGATAAGGCTCAGCAACTTACAGCAAGCAGCAAACGAGTACAAATTTGTAACTACAATAGATAATTATTTTCTATACTTCTTTATTTACTGTTCTATGTTTTAAGAAAAATAACTGAAATTTAATATCGTATTTCTAAATAGTAATAATGTATATACATATATAATGTATTAT